AGGCTTCAAACTTAAGAAAGGCGACAAAGTAAAAAATAGAAATACCTAAACGCGACCCATATGAAAATACTATTGACTATGACAACAATGGGAACTCGACAGGTACTCGCATTCGTGTTCGTAAAATAGAAGAAAGTATACAAGAGAATATTATGAAGTTTTAGGCAAACATGGCAAAATGTACAGACTGCAAGCAGAAGATAAAACTACTATTGTCAGACCTCGTTTCAAACTTGTCAAAGTTCAAGGTGGTATACTTTCAAAGACAGTTCCTAACAAATATAAGACAACTCCTGACGAATATGCTAAAGAAGTTGAAAATGACGACTAAGCAATTCTATACCATGCGTAAACTGTCATGTAAGGTGGCATGTAGTCTTTACTTTGTCCCGTTGTTTGTGTATATCCTGAAACGAAATGTGTATGGTTTCCTTCTCCCTGCGTGTCATCCCAGTAACAATTTATAGCAAACTTAACGTCGTCTTTAACATCATATCCTTTACCTTTTGTCATTCCTGACCAATCCCAATATCTATGCTTATGCCAACCTGCTTGAGATGTACTTAAATCTATGTAGTGACTGTGTGCAGGTAAATTTTCACCTGAAATCGTTTTACTTCACCTGTTTCCTTTGAAGAGTTTGCACAATACAAAAACCTGTCGACTATTTGTTCCCATGCACCAACACCAAACATTACTTGAGGACCTCTTGCTTCCATAGATGTATAAATAGAACCTACTGGGTTCATTAAATCAAACATATGAGATATTATAGGATTGTCTCTTTTGAACTTAAAATATAGTGCAACTATTTCAGGTTTCTTCTGGTTTAAGTCAGAATATTTTTATAATATAATCTTATGTTTTCAGGGTGGGTAAAGTCTTGACTATAATATTTATTTCTGTCATCTTCATAATAGTATACTATTCTCGTTTTTTCTATTGTGCATTATATCTTTTATATCTATAAAAATCTAAATATAATGTTAGCTTTTGTTCATCTACATGTGGTGTTCTGTTGTCATCTCCATAGTCATAATAGTATGGTGCTGGAGCTGGGTCAGGCAATGTCATATCTGTCATTTCATAAACTCTTAAATATTTCTTTTGTTCGTCTCCATATAAGTTTAAGTAGCAGTTGTTGTCTAATGGAACTTTAACTTGTGTACCATCGTTCTTTTATAGCTTACATACATTTCATTGTTATTTTTCGGAATGAGTTTATACCGTGTACCATTTTCTAAGGACTGTACCAACTGCCATCTAAAATATTTGTTTTCTTCATTGACAGAAAAGTCACCAACAATAGTTTCAATATTTTTTGTTCCTAGCAAACTTTGGTATATTTCATTGACATATGTTTTATCTGCTTTATTTTCAAGGCTAACGTTTAAGTCTGTTATTTCAGAAGATGTATGTGTATGTCCAACGTCACTTTTCCTGTTTAAGGTTTCTTGTAAGTTTGCAATATTTGCAATGGTATGTGTATGTCCAACGTCACTTTTCCTGTTTAAGGTTTCTTGTAAGTTTGTTATTTCAGATATAGAATGTGTATGAGTCTTTTTAGAATATTCGTTTTCAGCTCTTGTCACTTCACTTGACATTTTATTGTCAACATATGTTTTATCTGCTTTCTTTTCAACATCCTCTTTCGTTGCATAAGCTTTGTTAGCTCTTTCTTCTTCTTTTGCTATTGCATCGTCTACATACTCTTTGTCAGCTTTGTTGTCAAATCTGCTTTCAAAAGAAGTTCATCTATAGGTTTCTCGTTTAAAGTTCCTTTTGTTGGATTTATACAACAGTATGGTTCTTACTGTCTTGAAACAGAAACTCGTCTGTCATTGGGTTTATCGTCAGTTTTAAGTTTCCTTCTTTCAATGACTCAGATATCTTAGAATAGTTTGAAAAGTTTGTTGTGTTCTTATTTAGAGCTTGCAAAATGAGTTGTCGGTTGTGTTGTATTTCTCTCATAGACGCTGTTTCATTTGACATTTTTATTCTAGATAAAATATGCTTCCAATAGAAAAAGAAAATTCAAGAGTTGCTACAACTAAACCATTAGATGAACTTTTTACTAATGTCGGTCAAAAGTTTGAGACAGAGACCGTAAAGCATGAAGGCTATCGTTTTGACTACCCATTAAGATGGCTAAGAGACCCATCTGTCACAAAAGCTATTGGCTTTCGTAGAATGAAGTTTGTGTCTGTAGAAGATAAAAGTTTTCCATTTATTGTAAGGTTTCATATAGATTATATATCTGAAGGGAAACGAAAAATGTGGGAAGAAATTGAGCTAATACAAGTTGACCTTTCATCTTCTCTACAGACTGCGTTAAAAAATATAGAAGATAAAATAAATTCATGTTATGCAAAATATGTCTGATATATGCAAATACCGAGAGCAACTTTATGTGAGAATTGTATATGACAAACAAAATTCACAAGTGTCATTTCAAATCTACGAAGACAATCCAAAGAAAGACGAACAAATATATACAGAATTCACTGCAATGTCATGGTATTATTTGCAAAGAATGTTAAATCAGAAAGTCGAACTTCCTTTAGCAAATATTTACAGTCGATATGCAAGAGATGAACCATATTTATTTAAAGATGTTTTCGACCCAGCTGCTATTATTGTTCATGCTTCTTCTTCATTTTCTGGCGCCCAAAACTCTTTCTTATGCTTGGCAAAATGACTTTTACGAAAAACCTACAAAGTTATACGAACCACCAAGTGGAAGTATTTCAGACTTTCAAGTATGGTTTACTACAGATGGAAGAAAAAGAATAATTCCATTATACCATGTGTTTTACTTAGAACTTAGTTTCATATACAACTACTATCGAACGGTAAAAATATAATTTTTAATACGGTTGAGGTGTTGGATTTGGTTGCCAACTAGACTGTGGTGCAGGTTCAGGCTGTTGTATAACAGGAGCTTGTTCTTCTGGTTCAGGGTCTTTAGGTATAATACCAACGAACTGACCTACTCTTTTACCAATATTTTTGACTCCGTTCCAAATTCCTCTTCCTACGGTTTTTATTCCATTCCATATACCTCTTCCAACATTTCGAAAGAAGTTTCCTATCTTACTGAAGAAACCCATTTTACTATATGTAAAAATCTAATGTCCGCCTAGTCTCTTACGTTTCCTGTTGAGTTCCATAGCATTCTTTAACTGGAGCTCATACATTCTGTTTCTCCTCTGGTAGAAAACATATTCTGGGTCAACTCCTGTGTTCGCGTCATCTGCATAAAGTTGTTTATATCCCACTTCGGGGTTTGTATAAAACTCTTTCCATCTCATATTTGCATACCATGGTGGCAAACCTAACGCAGCGTCATTTGACATGGCAGTTTGCATTTGTACATCTGTTGGCACTTGACCATAGTTTGCCATTGCAGTTGTATTCTAACTTCATTTGGAATATTCTCTGGGTTTGGTTGTCCAGGTTGCTGTGCATTCGCTAAGTTCTGTGCGTCCATTTAATATTAGATAAAAATATCTCTTACGAGTACATATACTGAACATTTGCAGGCATTGGTTCATCTTCATATTCCTGTACTTTTCTGCCACGTCAAATAAGTAAATGACAAATGGAAAAAAACCTAAAACAAGTAGTCCTATTTCAAACCACATTTACTTACTAGTAAAATTTCTTTGTTATGACACTTTCTCCAGTTTATAGGACCTCTCTCATATTCTATCTTATCGTATCTAAACTCATAGTCATGTATGTCCTCTAACCATCTCATGACACTTTCCAAACCACTTTTATCGGATGTAAAGTAAAAGCATGGATGGTTATGTAAAACGTCTAAAGTTTCTAAAGAGTCTCTCAAAGTCCAGTCTACTTGGTATTGAAAATCCCATGTGTTATAGAACGGCGGGTCCACTATAAAGAAAACATTTTCCTTGTCTTTATATTTTTCATACAACTCTGTCCAATGACATCTCACAAACTCTATACCCTCAATATATTTTTCTATGTCCTCTTTGAAAACGTTTGTATAGTTAAGATATAAAACTTTTGACATAAGTGTTTCAATGTCATGAACTCTTATAGCACCACTATATAATAGTCTAGCAGATATACTATCCCAGTCTATATATTCTGCTTTTTTCAAAACCTCTCTCACAATATTTTTCTTATCTAATGGTATACGTTCCATCTTACCTATAGGTATCTTTTCTTTTAACTCTTTCAATATATTGTTTGTGTCTGGTATATGTTTGAGACGGTCCATATAGTTGTCGAAGTCATTGCATATAATCTTTGAGTCAGGAAATACAGTATGGCACAGATGGGATATATAGAAACTTCCACCGAACAAATCTACAAATGTTAGACCATTCGGTAGTTTCTTAAGTTCTCTCAATAGAATATCTTTACATCTACTCTTATTTCCAAAGAAGGGTAACGGTGGTTTTGTAAAATTCATTTTATATACAATAAAAATGTTTTTTTCCTGAAAAGTGACAGAAAAGTGACAAAACATTTACGAAGAAATCTTGACAAATTCAAGAGGGTAGAAAAGAGGTTAGAAAAGAGGTTATATCTAACCTTCTACCCTAAAATATATTTTTATTGAATTCTGAGTAAAATTCTGAGTAAAATGACAGATGTTTATATGACCCTTACTTGTCCGGTTTATAGGACCTCTCTCATATTCTATCTTGTCGTAAATAAAACTCACAGTCATGTATGTCCTCAAAACTTCATTTCTCCTAAACATCTTCAGGGCTAGAAGGGGCGCAGCCCCTGGAAGCCCCACTACCTTTTTTTTTTTTTTTTTTTTTTTTTTTTTTTTTTTTTTTTTAAATCCTTAAAATTGATCGCAAAATATTGTTTCGTTATTTTATTCTTATCGTCCCCACTTTTTATCAACATCCGCCAAAAGATTAATTCAAAAACAAAATATCCATATACATATATAATATTATTTTTATTCAAAAAATTATTCAATATAATTTTAATAACCATTCACAAAAATAATGGGTCCACGTGTCATTACTTCATCCATTGGAAACACAGTTCTCACAGAATACGAATTTATCAAGCCTCTCGGTGAAGGTTCCTTCGGTTCCGTTTGGCTTGCCAACAATACAGCACTTAACTATCAAGTCGCCATCAAAGTTTTACCAAAAGCTCTCTTCACAGATACAATTTCTATTACTCGTCTCCAACGTGAAATTAATCTTCAAAAGAATATGGACCATCCATTCATTGCTAAGCTCTTCCACCACATTGAAGATCCAGAAAATCATTACCTTGTAATGGAATACGTCGAAAACGGAAACCTCCTTGATTACGTTAACGAAAATGGTCGTTTAAACGATGAGCAAGCTAGAAAGTACTTCCTCCAATTGATTTCCGTTCTTGATTATCTCCACAACAAGCTTCACATCGCTCACAGAGATCTCAAGGCCGAAAACATCCTTCTCGATAAGAACAGAAACATTAAAGTCATTGACTTTGGTCTTTCTCGCCAATTTACAGATGCTGATCCACAGCTTCAAACAGCTTGTGGTTCCCCAGCGTATGCCGCACCAGAAATGATTTTAGGCGAGCCATACGATAAGTCCTGCGATATTTGGAGTGCTGGTATCTTATTGTACGCTATTTCTTGCAGAGAACTTCCATTCGATGACAATGATACGCAGGCTACCCTTCGTAGAATCGTCTATACAGAACCAGTTTTCCCACACTACCTTTCTTCAGCTCTTATTGATCTTCTTAAGAAGATGCTCAAGAAGAACCCACAGAAGAGAATCACACTCGAAGGCATCAAGAACCACCACTGGTTCTCACAGACACAATACTCCGTCGCAGAGCCAACCGATGACGTCTTGACCGATGAGACCGCTATCGACAAGCACGTTGTCGACGAAATGATCGAACTTAACATCCCAATTGATGGCCTCAACGAAGCTATTCTCGCAAAGGACATGAACGCTCTTACATCTCTCTACGAACAATTACGTCGTAAGCATCTCAACACTCCTCCAGAGCAGCGTATCCCATCCGCTAAGACTCAGATCAAGGATGGTCAGACTATCCCACCTCTCAAAGCTACACTCGCTAGACCAACTACCAAATTCCCATTCGGAGCTGCTAACAAGCCAAGACAGCTTGCTGCTGCTCAGATGGGTGTCGCTATCCCACAGCGTAGAATGTCTCGCCCAGTCGCCGTCAGAAGGCCAATTAAACCGGCCATTCCTCCACAGCAGCCTTACGACGCAAGGCCAGCAGCCATCCTTCAGTAAGAATGCGTATCACCTGCTATTCAATAAAAATGTCCATAATGGTTTTTTTACGTCAAAAATTTTTTTTATTCGTATTCAATAATCAAAGTTTTGTCATTTTATGTTACAAGTTTTACGAAATAAGTCGAGTTCTGATGATGGTTTGACTTCTAATTCGAGATAATCTTATTTTGTCTATAGAATCTCATCGTTATTGAACGAATATTCATTAAGACCAGTAATAATTATTGAATAATTTTTCATGTGTGTAATATGTGGCGTTCATTTTTTATATGAATCCTTTGATTTTTAGGGAGTAATCGAATTTTTAAAGAATTACTTTAATATTGAAGTTTTATTGCTGAGCGTATACAATTATATGATTCTGAGATTGCTGGTATCATAAATTTAGTATATGATTTTGTAAATAAATATCGATAAATCGAAATAAATGCTTTGAATTCAAGATTTTATGCTTAAGCGCTTCCTTACAACCCCTTTTAATCGTTCCTGTTTCTTCCAAACTTTTTTTGAAATCTTGAATTGCTGTTCCACATCATGCACTTTGTTATTGCTGTTTTTGATTTTTGAATTTTTTTTGGAGTTGCGAATTCCATAAACGAATTATCTCACTAAATAAAAGATTTTAGGAGTTTCGAAATTAGGTCATCAAAACAAATTTATGAATTGGTTTAAAGGATCAATAGATTTATGATACTTTCAAATTTTTCAAATTTGAATTTTTCAGCATCAAATGAATTCCTCACATGAAGTCTTGCAATAATAAATGCTGACATCCGAAGTTCTACTTTCCTTGATTCTCCATTTTTATCCGATTTGTAGGAATCTTCTCAATCCGATTCCACTCGTTTTTTTTTCCGAGAGCAAATTGTTTGATGTGGGTAGAAAATTGGTGAAATTTTAATTATATCCAGCAGTGGATTGGATAATCCGATTGCATGTAAATCCTCAAAAGTTACAATTCGTGTAAAATATTATCGTACGTTTTCAAAAATTTATTCAATCATGAACACAGAGAAAAGACCATCAACAAGAGGAAGCGTTCGCATTCCAAGAATTCCACAACATTCTAATTCATCATTATCACGTCAAAAGGATATTACTTTACATGAAAGAACTGGTCGAATTAAAATTGTTACTGAAATAAAAGAATTAAAGCGTGTTAGAAAGGCTTATAATAAATTCAATGAGCTATTTAGTAAATTTAATTCATCAACAGGCGCTGAAATAGTTGGAAAACAGATGACATTAACGTACTCACAGTTTAAGTCCGCATTTGATAGTTTTCTATCTCATTGCTCTCAGTACTTCAATTCTTCACCTAACACACGCCGAATTGGAAGATATTCTCCAATAATAGACTTTTCGCAAAAATTACTCAAAGAATGGTCATTATTAGTAATTGCAATGAATCGATTATCTTCTTCTTTCCAAATCCCACATCAGCAAAAGCTCCAAGAAGATTTTGACATGCTTACCGGAAGTATTACAACAATTGCGAAATCAATTGTTAATCGTACGTATTACAAAGACAATCTCTACTCATCATCCAATGTTTTAAAGTCCGAAATCACACGCATTTACCAGCTAATCTTCAAAACATTGAACGGCGATGTTTCCGAATTCAATGACGCCAAATTGGATTCACTCAGAGAAGAAATGGTTATTCTTAATCGAAACATAAATGACAATTTCGTATCACAAATTCCTTCAAATGTCGCAAATACACCAGATTTTCTACGAATGAGGAGCGCTCTTAAAACTTCTTGTGGACATGTTATCTCTTTATTGGAGGCAGCTCATTTCTTCGTTCATAACATCCATTCAATCCTTAACAGAATGAAGAAACTCGATGTTACGCTCAGAGATCTTCTGGATGAATTGGACATTAAATATCGCTTGGATGTCACTCCTAATGGAGAAGAAGAGCCAAGCGAAGAAGATGTTGACGAATCTCCAATAAAACCAGAGATTAAAGTTTTGGAAGATGAACCTTTCGAAGTAACACTTCCTCCTGTTACGAAACCACGTGCTCGTTCATCAATAAGAACAAGCGTTGTTAAAAATTGTATGCGCGGCACAATTTAGAATTTTCTTAATTTATTATCGAGAATATAGTTTTGTTTGATATTGTATTAGATTATAAATACATTTTTATGCTTATTCACAAACAATTTTTTATCACAAGTTAATTTTCAATTCTTGATTTCGTAAAAATATGATCAGTCAAAATTCTGTTATATAAAATATATTTGTCTGCTCACACACACTCGATTCCAATCTATACAAAGCGCATTTTCTGCGCTTTGCAAAACCAATCATGAATCATATCGAGGATAAAACCTTCTCATTACGAGAAATCAACATCACAACATTAGGCATTTCTAAATCTAATAATGCTTGAGTTTACTCGGTGATTAAATTTTCAATACGTTACAAATAACGATAGAAAATTAATCCAAAATGTCGAAAGATGATTTCTGGTTAAATTCACCGACAGATCCTCCCAGCTCTGATTGGGCACTTAATTCTCCACAGAGATCTGGTTTTGTGGATCCAATTGATATGGATTTACCTTATATGGATTCACCACTTCAAATGAATTTTGATCCAACTTTGCCACCATCTCCAAATCCTACTTCCCCCGGTCAAATACCTGATTTAATATTCGGCGATACTCCCGCCGAATTTCCAAATTTTGCACCTCCTCAACTCATTCCTCAGCATAGAAGAACCCCATCAAGTCCAGCACGTGCTCCTATGTTTAATTTTGCACAATATCGTGAAGTTCCAGCACCAGCAGCTGAAGCTCCAGAGGCCAAAAGAACTCAACCAATTGTTCAACCAACACCCCAGCATACGAGAAGTCTAACATCACCAGCAACCCTACCGGCGATCAATGATGGCTTCGAAGCAGCTCTATCTGATCCAGGTATCAAATTTAATCCAAAGAAACTTGGTTTTATTCCAAGTAAGATATGGACAGATCAAGAATTCTCATTTGGATATCTTGTACAGAACTTTTTCCAAAAGAAAAATAACGCTAACTCTAGATTTTCTCACAAATTATATAACGCATTAAAAATTGCAGAATCAGACAGACTTTATGCGGATCTTCTTGGTGTAGAATGGCTTAACGATAGAGTACTCAGAGTAGAAAAGAATAGATTTGCAAGATTACTTGGAATTAGAACTATCGACGGCAGCTTCTTCCATCAACAAGGTAATTTCCCATCCCATGGATTTATCGAGCTCGATCCTAATACTGCTCCACAGATGGTTACTCCAAAAGACCTTGAGGGAGTTGATTACGACAATGTTCGTCTTCTCTTCCATTCTCAGAATATATTTATCCGTGGTTGCAACGAAAGCGTCCTAGAAGCCTGCAAGTGGACATCATCTCGAAAGAGAAATGTTTAATTTCATTTCCCATGAAAATTTTAATACATGAAAATAATTGAATGTTATTGCATAAACAATGATTGTTTTTATTATATATCGTTTTATTACATGAGATAAAGTATTTGTCTTCGTTGATGACTTGAATGAATAAATTAAGAGAACTTTGCTCATCAATACTAGATGCAAGCTGCTGTAATATTCATAGTGTCCTCCTATCAGGAAGCCATTGGCACTGCTTTTCCCTATTATTATCTAAACTAATTGGTGTTGGCCTGATATTCTTCTCATCATTAGTCAAGATACCTCAAATTTTAAAGATCTTACTTCATATGCGCGCTGATGGAATCAGTTTGATCGCAATATTAATGGAATTACCAGTAAATGTAATTTCATTTTGTTACCATTATTCACATCATTACGCATGGACCACTTACGCTGAGACTCTTATAGTATTTACACAAAATTTGATCATCGGATTCTTTGTTTCCCGTCTTGAAAATATTTTAGATTCAACTATATGGAATCTAATAGTTTTAGCTCATTGCTCTTTGATATTTGGGACACTTAGAAACATAATACCCGCATCATTCATATTGCCTTTATGGTTTATATGCATTCCATTATCAATTGCGAACAAATTCCCACAGATCATATTATCATATCGATCAAAGAAGCGTGGGAACTTTTCAAGAACTTCTGCTTTCCTCAGAGCACTTGGATCATTAGGACGAGTCTTAATTACACTAAGAGAGATTAATGATAGGAGTGTTTTGATCTCTTCTTTGTTGAATTTCTCCTTAACAGTTATTATTTTTGTTCAATCTCTGATTTACCCAGTAAGTACTGAACGAAAGCTGAAGTAGAACACAAACAACCATTTCATAACCTTTTATATATTGTATTTTATTTAAAACCATATAGATTCTATCCTTTTATAATTTTGAAATAATTTTTTGCATTTTGAATGGGAGTCTTGCTATTTTTAAAAACAACAGAGTGAAGCAAAGCTGCTAATTAATAAGATAATGATTAGTTAAAATGTTGAATCATATGAAAAGATTATTTAGGTAAAAATTATTGAAGATATAAAAATCTTTATCCTTTTAAGCCAATTAAGCATTAGAAAAGAAGATGAAATAACTCGATGTTTTTCTTCTAAAAAAAACAAAAAAGTTTTCCGATACGGGGAGTCGAACCCCGATCCTGTGGATGAAAACCACATATCCTAACCGCTGAACGATATCGGATTCACGAAATCCATATCGCATGGTATTATAAGATAACATTCTGGAAACTTGTAAGATTTCTAAATTATTTCATCTTTGCATTCAGGCAGCCAAATCCATGAAATTTTGGAGATGTTTCGTAAGCTAGTTAGAGTCAATCAATTTATGAATCTACAATAGGACTATTTTTTGTCATCACAAATTAATTTTTGTATCTGTGTTCCAATGCATACATATAATACTTGCTATTTGATAGCGAATGAAGCTGTACTTTCATTCTCCCGCCTTTTGTTTTTTTGCAGCTTCTAATAAGCTTCAATCAATATCAGTAATCGAAATTTGACAATTGATCGGGCTGCCACTTTTACGATCACTTTCAAATCGTATTCGTTTCGTCCATCGTTATTATATCGTATGATTAAACACCATGAAAATCTTTCAATGAAACAAGAATATATGTTCTACATCAAGTATTTTTAAAGATTTTTTTATTTCAACATTAAACTCATATTTGTATCAATATTTCATTGATCGTACATGCATGACACAAGATCCTGATGCTGTTACTTCTATATGAATAGGTTTGATATTGGAATTTTCATATCCGTTGTAAAAAGTATGGAATTTAAGTATAAAAACAAAAGATTTAAATAATTTTTGAGATACATTATAAATATACAAATCAAAAAAGAATAATTCCGTCCTAATTAAAATCGTCTTCAAATTCTTTTTCAAAATCCTCTGGTTCATCATCATTTTCCGGAGCATTAAAAGCTTCAGGATTCTCATCATCCTCAGGAGCGCTGAAATCCTCATCATCCGGTGGTGGATTATTAATATCTTCTGGATTTTCTTTTTCATCATTATTTTCAGTTGGATTCAGTTTGTCCTTTATAGGATTCATTAGTTCTGTTTCTTCATTATTGTTTTCTTCTTCCTTTGGTTTCAATTTGTCTTTGATTGAATCCATTAAATCAGTTTCTTTTTTGTTATTTTCATCTTCGAAATCTTCATCATTTTCCTGTGGTTTATCATTGGATTCATCACCATCCATCTTATCAGCAGCTTCATTAACAGTATTAGATATCATTCCTGATAATCCTTTTGGTTCTTCTTTATTTTCTTCGTCTTTATTTTCTGTTTGTTCTTCTTCTTTGTTTGCTTCTTCGTTACTTTCTTTGTTCTCTTCGTTATCGAATGTATCGAATTCTGATGTATCGTCATCGTTTTTCTCTTCTTCTTGTGGAACTTTTTCAGCTTTTGACTTAATTTTTCCTGACAAAGAAGAAGCAGTGTTGTTTCTTGATGTAGATCTCTGTGTGTTTGATCCACCAGTTGCTTCCTGGATGATTTCTGCAACTGTTTGACGATACATCTTTGGATTCTTCGCGCGATTATCCAATTCATCGAAATCGATATTGAATTTCTGGGCGAGATTTCGAAGAGCAGAATCATCAGAACCATCAGTATCATGAATGATCTGTGCGAATTGCTTTTGAAGAGTTTCTTTCTGCAATTGCATATCTGTTTTCTGCTTCCTGAGTTTAGCGGCTGTTTCTTGTCTTCTTCTTTCGAATTCTTCTTGTTTCTTGATCTGTTCTTGAACAATTCTTTCTCTCTTCTGTTTCTCAGCCAATCTTCTTCTTTCTGCCCTGAGAGCTAAGAATCTCTTGTTCTCCATGTCAATCTTTTCTTGCAATGCCTTTTCTTGTCTCTCCTTTTCGACTCTTTCAGCTGCTGCTTGTGCTTCTGCTTCTTTCTGTTTCATCTTGTCCAAAACATCTTGTGCTCTCTTCTGTTGTTTTTCGTTGATTTCGTTCATCTTGTCTTTGATTCTCTTTGTTGTTTCATCTTGACCTTCTCTTGCTCTCTTCTGTTGCTCTTCCTTTTGTTTCTCGAGCTCTGCAATCCTTTGTTGTGCTTGTTTATCCTTTTCCATTAATTCCTTGTTTATCTGCTCTCTTTCGAGTTCTTTTTCTTTTGCCCATTGTTGTTGTCTCTTCATCTTTTCTTCCTTCTTTGCTTTCTGTTCTTCCAAGTCTTTCTGGCGCTGTGTCGCTGCTTGTTTCAAATTCTCTTCGATCTTCTTCTCTTTGGCTAACGCACTCTTTCTTAGTTGTTGTAATTGCTGCCTGTGATTCTTCTTCACTTTTTGTAAAGCGCTTTGACGTTTTTCGTTCATTTCTTCTCTCTTCTTTGCGCGTTCCTCTTGTTCTTCCTGCAACTTCTGGAGACGACGTTGTTCTTGCTTGTCAAGACGCTCTTGGATTTCTTTCGCTTGCTGGATCTTCATTTCTTCTTGTTTCTTGATCTGTGCACGAATTTCTTCTTGTCTCTTTCTTGCAGCTTCTTCTTCCTCGAGTTGTTTCTTTCTGCGATCAATTTCAGCTTGTTTGGCTGCTTCACGAGCTTTCTTCTGCTCTTCCTCTTCTTGGAGTCTTCTCTGGTGATCTGCTTTTCTTTGTTCTTCGAGTTGTTTTTCTGCTTCTTTGATTCTTTTGAGTTGGTCTTCGCGCTCTTTGATTTGCTTGCGGCGAAGGGATTCTTGTAAGTCACGCTGCTTCTGCTCTTCCTGTTCTTGGCGTTTGCGGGCATCTTGAGCATGGTATTTCGAAATTAACGCATTTAATATTAATTGCTCGACTTCTCGCTTATTTTGCTCTTCTGCTTTCTGCATACGAGCATTTTCTATAGCTGTATATGTAAGTTGTGGTCTGTTATCGCGAACTTTGAGCTTTGGAGTTTTCGTTTGTTTCTTTTCTTCAATTCGAGATATTTCTTCTTTAACTTGAGCAATGCGATTATCGATTTCAGCCACAAGTTTCCTTTCAACTGTGTGACGGAACTGTGGATCTCTTGTATAGGCGTTTAAATCGTTTTGAGTTGGATATTGCAGATCTGATTCAACATAACCGAGATTTTCCATTGCTTCCTTTGTTTTAGGATCATTGAAATTTAATTCAGACTTTGGTTTTGGTTTAAGTGGCGGGAGAGTTGAACTTTGTTTTTTCTCCTCCGTTTTTGGAGGCGTATCCTCTTGCTGTTTTGATTTAGGTGTAGGGTCAATGGTTTTCTTACTCTGGGTAACCATTAAATTATCCTCATCTTGATCAAAATCATTCTCAAAGTCTTGATTCTCAGTCATTTCTGCAAAAAACGAGTTTTTGTAAAAAGTGACGAAAAATCAATAATCAATGGCAATCTATATGTTTCAATTAGACGATACATAAAGAATAAAGAAAATTTATTTTTGTTCCCTAATTTTAACTTTTTAGTACATTTCCATTCAAATATCTTCAAAACATACATATGACGTATCATTCAGAACATACGAAACATAAGATCCTAAGTAAAGAGCTATTCATCTGTGAAAATGATGAATATTGGAAATCAATTGAAAATTTACAGCCAATGTTCTTATCTCTGACATCTTAATAAATGCTTCAATTAATTTAGTGGCAAACCTTCGATGGAGTGTATTGAAACCTTTTTATTAATGAGCATGTAGCAAAAAAAAACAAAAGAAAAAGCTTGGTCCCGCCAGGAGTCGAACCTGGATTTCGGGATTCAAAGTCCCAAGTGATAACCGCTACACTACGGGACCAACACATTAAATATCATTTTGGAGGATTCATAATAATTTATTACTACTTTTCTTCAAATTTTGTTCTTTAGATAGAACTCAACATATAATACTGTGAACTCATAGATTCACATGTAATGCAAATCTTATATATTCTTCCTATTTTTATCCAAAAATATCACTCAATTGAGAATATCTTGACAAATATTTGTCTATCAAGTGGTTTTTATTGAGAAAATAGAGTTATTTCTCTATTTACATCTGTCATACAATTGAACTTAAGGCATTAATAGAAGTCTTGAAACTTTTTGCTGATATTTCTTATATCCAGGGCGATTCTTCATTCTTCCTTCCATCAGAGGAATAGAAATGACATTAAATAAGAATATCATTGTTAATGGACCAACAATTCCAATCTTGTATTGAGGATTAGAAATAAAATCAACAAGCCAAACGCCAGTCCAAAAAAGAATCTCTCCTAAATAGTTTGGATGACGAGAGTGCTTCCAAAGACCAATATCAATAACTGTTTTTCCATTTCTATCCTTTCTGAAGTTGATCATTTGCATCTCTGCAAATAATTGAAGAGTAGCAGCTAAAATAGACAAGATACTACCTGCAATAGATAAATTTGAGAGCTTTTCTGAATTTTCAATAGTATTAAACATCGGAATCATTCCAGCAAAGACTAAAACTGTAGGAACTAGCTGAATAGCTACTAGATTAGATAATGGCCATATCAGTGGGCAGAAATTCCTGATACTTGTATATCTCCAGTCTTGATCTTTTCTTCCACGCCATTGATAAGCCCAGTTTAGTGTTAGTCTAAGAGCCCAAATTAAAATTGGAATAAATGAAATTATGAATAACTGCCAAGTAAATGCTGATTTCGAAAATTTAAGATAAACAAACCAGAAAACAACATGTTGAACACTCCAGTATGGATCATATAAGTTAGCATTGCCATAGATATGAGATAAAATCCATATAACAACGGTACTAACAATATAAAAAGCGAAAACTCTCCATAACAATGATGGTATCTCTGTTTCTAACCATAAAAATGCATATTATCCAATTACGAATGCAACAACATATGAAATGATCACGAGGCTAAAATCGAACAGAAGACTTGGCATTTCTCTTCAAAATGAGTTTGAATTGATCTCAATTTTCCTTTTCAAATTTATGAGAGGTTAACATTTATAAATCCTTTTATCATAAAGATTTAGATTTATCCAATAATTTCTTTTGTTTCTGTACATTCGCAATCAAGCCATATCTGAGTTATATTTGCACAATTTACCTCTTAACATGCAGAGTTTACTGCTAATTCTGAAGGGAAGCCATTTTTTATCAATCAATTAATACGATTCTCAACACAAGATCGAGATTTTATCAAAACGAAACTCAAATAGTTATTAAATAGTTATTGCATATCGAATGAAAATAGATTTGCTATTTGAAATCGTAGTATCATGAATTTACATAAATATTTCAATAATTTCTATCAAATATTAACGCAGAAGTTCAAAATTGTCTCAACAATTCTTCCATATTGATCAAATCTAATGAACAATAGCTTTTAGATTGGGTAGGATAGTGAAGTTGAAAAATATATTGATGATTTATAGAATGCCCAAGTGAAACTAGTAGGTATTCAGTAGGGTATTCAAAATACGCTTATATCTTCTCTATTTCTTCGAATCGATATTTGAGAAGACCCGCGGACTCGTTCTTTTTCCAAACAAAAATTTTTTGCTACGGAAATCTTAGCGCATATCATGAGTATAATACTTATTGTCAAAAGAAGTTTTGCGCCAAAGTGCGCACTTTTTTTATTTGTACGTTAACGACTAAACTAGAATGGAGATTGTTCCTTTTAGCGACTACCGTCCTTCAATGTCGAAGAACGTTTTGCTTGTGAACAATCCAGTCGGAGGCCATAGACCTTCAACTTACAACCTTCCAGATGAAGATTTTAGATATGGCATCAGAACTAAGAAAGGAGAATCAGTTGCTGCATGCTTTGACTGGCCTGATCCACCAGTTGATCGTACAAGACGTGGAGCTACATCTTCTGCTTCATCGACCGTTAAAGAAAGATCGTTATCTCCCCCAAAGACTGCCAGACGCGAATTATCATCGATTTGTCCTCCAGACTATGATGAACCAAAAACTCCAAAGCAGGAGAGACCTAAAGCTGAAATGATGACACTCGTTGAGCGCACTTTAGGAGCCCCTGCAACTTCGAGACCATTGAATGTCAAAAGTAATCGCGACTTTATCTCAACAAACAAAGCAGCCTTGGATGCTGGTTGCGTTACAGCTAGAGACTTCAGAGAATTCAAGGAGGAAAATTATATTGCCAAAAAACAAAAGACTAAAACAGGTCAATTAGCTAAAGAAAAACATGAAGCAAAGGTTAGAAACATGGTCCACGGCGTATCTACTCCTGTCGTTAGTGAAATCAAAGATTGCTTAACATACAGAACCCTTAACGAAGCTCTTGACAGAGCTGTAAGGACAAGAGAGCTTCAAGTTGAAAAAGCTAAAGCCAAATCAGCAAGAAGACCAACATTCAAAAAGGCTGGAAGATCTACACGTGCTTCTCGCGGACATACTGTCAAACCAGCTCCTCCACCAAGTGAAGCTGAAACATTCAAGATGAAGAGATTCAAGAACATTGATCACTACAAGATTGTTGACTATTGGTAACTCTTCTTCACCTTTCATTCCTTTGATTATATCATCTTTTTTATTTAATGTAAATTCCATGTTTCCATCTTATATTTTATCATTCTCGCTCTTTCAAAAATGATTAATTTTACATACATCCTCTGTGTGATGATACCGCTGTTTGTTGGTTAAGCAACAAATAATTCCATGCTTTGAATATCAAAACTAGCAGCTATCTGGGCGAATTTTGAAAAATGGATTTGAAAATATTTTTCTTGAAAAACTGCTTGTTATGGTGAATTCAAGAATAGTGGAGTTCTCCACTCAAAAACACCTTTATGCTTTAACCTTTTATTCATTGACTTTTTATATGAACTAGAATTAAGATGAATAAAGATAATCTTGATGTTTTTTCTAATGAATTTCTGAGCTGATTCTTCATATCATTTACTCTATAATTCACTTTCATCGGCATTCATTACATATATGGAAAGCTTGTCAAAGTTCCATCATCTCGTTTCTCAATTACCAAAAATCATATTTAACAAACTTTATTTATCCTTTTGTCTAATAGTAAAACTACTAAATTTTCAGGTATTGATATATTTCGAGACATGAGAATGCAATTCTATTAAAAGATCAGTGATTAAAAAGAAGATATATCTATAATGCATTTGATTAAAAACGATTATCAACATCCAAATGTTTACAAATAAAAGAAAATAAAAAATAAATAAAAATTACTTATTGAGTCCTTTTCTTATTAAATCGATCTTGTCTCTGATCTGTTTCTCAGTCATCGAAGGCCCGTTGTTAACTACGTGCTGTATCTGGGGAATGACAGAGTAGTTGTAAGGAGTGTTCTGGAACCTGTAGAGAACCATTGTTTTCTCAGAAATTCCCCTTCTTTTTTCCCAGTTAATGAGTCCGTCTTTGAAACTCGGTGCTTTGTCAATTGGAACTGAAACTAACTCAACACGGAGGTTAGGAATTGTGGCCTTCCATGCATCGAACTTGGAGCGAACAATCGAGTTGTAATCAGTCAATTTCGTTGAGTTTTCTCCGCAGTGGTCGCAAATTTCATCGCGACGGCGACAAAGGTCTTTATCTGTAAGGAAGAAGAGGTTGTTGATCTCAGGATCCTTGAGAGCACGCATTATGCAGGCTGCTGCATCGAAATTGGATAAAGTTACTGTTAAATGGTAAGCGATATCGAGGAATCTCGAAATTGCACCGACATGATCGTTGTTAGGAGCATTGACAATCGTATCTAAAATTAATAATGTCAATCTATCTCCGAAATCGAAGAATTCGGCTAATGTTGGGGTTTGATGAGAAATTTTTTGTTCGGAAAGGGCAACAACGAATTCTCTGGAGTGGACAGCCTTGAATGCAGCATGGAAAAGCAATGTAATCTGCCTGGCGACCTCTTGTGGGTTCGGTTCTGTTAATTTCAGAGTTGGTTTGAAAATAATTTGGGCGTTGTCAATAATTGGAGGTTCGGAAGGTGGTGGAAGAACACCTACCTTCTTTCCGTACTGGAGGTTTGGTAATTGGGCCAAAATTGGCTTGGCATAACGCATAATATTTTGCATGTTCTCTTGATCATCTTCTATTTTACGTAAAAAGTGTCCGATCGATTTTAGTGTCTTTCTACCGATGAAAAGTCCGTGGAATGATGTCCATTTCTTGATAAGGTTGATAACTGAGACTCTGAGCTGAGATTGCATTTCCAAGATCTTCTGCTTCTGCTCTGGAGTATCAGGCTCAAGTAAATGGCAGTCGAATAAGGCGCAAAGGTGCTGGAAGAAATGATATGAAGAAGTAATTGAATGCAATGTAAGGAAAAACTTGTAGAGTTCATCATCAGGTAACTGAGCTGGTGGAGCTGTAGCGAAAAGAACTACAAATCGTTTCATTGAGGCAGCCTTGAGGTATGGGAACGTATGAGTGGCACCTTCGTACTGTACATTGAGTTCTGGATCTAATAGTTCCTGCCAAATCAATTTCGGATCTTCGCGATAGGGTGAAGCAAAGAAATCTTCTTCAAGAGATTCTTCGACATATTGATGGTGTGGATCTGGAGAAATTTCCCATGGATCCTCGCGAGGTAAAACTCCTAATGAAACTAAAAGTAATAAATCTGTTTTGTCCCACGGTTGATCAACGTGTTGAAATTCATGTCCGCATTCATTTTGGAGCATTTCAGCAGTCCTGTGCATGCCAATAGCGTTTAGGTGCTGAAAAACAAGCTCGAGGATAACATATCTATTTACGTGAGAAAGAACAGCTGTTGTATCGGTATGAACCACATTTGCAAATGAGTAACCACCTGTCCATGGCAGAACGCGTTCTCTTAATGCAAGGAGCTGAGGGTTTTCGCTTAATAATTTGGAAATCCATTGGCTTCTCTGCTCAGAAATATCTTCTGGGATATTTTGTGGAGCGGAAGCTGATTTGGGAATCAATGTTTGACCATGAGGTGATGAAGATGAATTCATCGACATGTCAAACTTGTCACTTTTCCAAACCTGATTTTTGATTCACTGCGAAAAATCTCTCGTGTTGAGCTAAAGAAACACCAGCTATGCTAGGACGAAATACAAGCATCGCATTATGATTCTAACACTGTTTACAACAGTTTCCTAACAATTTCAATTGATCTGGATGAATTACTTCCAATAAGTATATTACAAACAAGGTATATCAACATGAATGCGTCAGCAAGAGATTTCAGTTGTTTTACAAAAATTAATATAGTTTTGAAATATATTACTCATTGACACCTCATTTAACCTAGTATTGATAAAAACTAACTAGATGGTTATGATGTTTGCATAACAAAATTGCAATTTTCGAAATTCATGGTTACCCTACGTTCCCAACTTCTGGAAAACGGTTTTTCACCCTTATGATCAGTTTCAGACACTTTGGGAATCTCCCAAACTTTGATATTTTGCATTATGATAGAGAAACGTGTCTAGTTTAACGCACAGTTGTTTTAAAGGCAAATGATGATATCACATGAAATTATCAAATTATCAAATTTTGAAGTACCAGTCCAAAGGGTTAATTAGATCCTACACAGATGTGCGATAGTGAAACATATGTGTTCTTGATTTGAGAAGTCCTACTGATAGAGGTATGAATCTCACAGCTTTGTGTGAGTGTGTCTGACACTTGTATAGAGTGGAATATGCGCCGACATATATTATATAATAACATGTAGTTGATAATTATGAAAAAATAGAATTTGATGCGAATGATATTGAAAGTTGTTTTGTAATTTGATATTTTTCTTATATGTGTTAATTAGTAAATGGCTTGTTTGTTGTGATCGTACTGTGAAAAATGAAAGGTATTTTAAATTAAAAAAATGAGATTTTGAGATATCTCTAGAATTAAGAATTTATTATGTATTTGACTTTTATATAACTATATGTAAAGGATCTCAATGTCTATATGCTTTAAATAAAATTAAATAAAATGAGATAAAAAATTAAAATGGACAAGAAGATATATGGAAATGTAATTTGTATTGTATTGGTTGTTGGCAAAATGATTTTAATACAGATTTAAGGATTTGGAATGGATTTGAAATTAAATGATTTTTATTCAAGGAATAATAAGATTTTGAACTGGTTTTTATTTTGAGAATGTAAACTCCTTCCATAGGATATGTATTAGAAAGATCAATTTTAAACTTTTTGAAAGAATTGTTTTTTTGTTGAGTGATTTTCTCTCATTTGATAATATTTTTAAGTTGGCGTATCTTACGCCCTTCCAAAAATATGTATTAGAAAGATCAATTTTAAACTTTTTGAAAGAATTGTTTTTTTGTTGAGTGATTTTCTCTCATTTGATAATATTTTTAAGTTGGCGTATCTTACGCCCTTCCAAAAATATGTATTAGAAAGATCAATGTCAAACTTTTTGAAAGAATTGTTTTTTTGTTGAGTGATTTTCTCTCATTTGATAATATATTTAAGTTGGCGTATCTTACGCCCTTCCAAATAAGGGTTTCGTTTTGCGAAAAAAACGTACAATACGCAATTTCGCTAAAAAAATATTTAGCTAGCAATTTCGACCTTTGACTCCACTCAAGACGTCACTTTTTTAATTTTGCGGTATCATATTTTTGGAAAATCTTTATGAATATTATATAAAAAGTCTCTTTAATATCTATATTTCATATTTTTATCGATTTTTAAAGTTTTTGCGAAAAGTATTCAATTATTTTTGCTATTTGGTCGGGTAAATGTCAGATTTGCGACATTTTCTGATATGATATTCAGATTCTACGTTGATAATAATGCTTATAGAACCCTCTTGCTATTGTGTCAAAATTGCGAAACCGATAGCAAAAATATCTCGCAATATCAAAATTGAGATATTGAGTGAATTATGCATTATAGAGATTAAAAATCTGATTTGTGAAAACATCTCATCAGTTTCTAGCTAATTCAAAAATCTTTACTATCTTATTCGATTAAAATGAAAAGGGAATAGTTTCATTATGCTTTAAATGACAGCCTTATAATATAATCATAGTTTTCGCTCAATATGCAGCATTTTTTTTCGAAATCTATGGTCAATGCCCTAAATACTGATTGCTTTGCATTCATATCTCTTACTTTTTCTATACCCACATCACTATTCATTGCTATTCCTATCTTTTTCATTTTTGTTTGTTTCTCATAATTTCTCAAAAAACATGATAACTTGATATTTGTAAATATCATACTTTATAACGTAAATAAGAACTTGACCTATTAAGAAAAGCAGTAATGAAAAGAAAATCTGAAATTCATAAAAATTACAAGTTTCTGATGACAATTAGCTTAATTAAACCAGGTACAAGATTATATAATTGTATTTTCTATCCAATTATCCATATAATATCTTATCCAGAAAAAAAACTTGATCAATAGTAGTATATGTGGAAGGGTTGTGTGACTTTTTTTGTAAACGTAAGAATTCATATAATATCGAGCGATTTTGTATCATTTTTTTAACATATGAAGTAAAAAATGTATGATTCTTACGGTTTTTATTCTTACGTTTTTGAATAAATCAAGATTTAAAAAATTTTCAAAATTGTAAGACATTTACACTCAGCCCATACATAATGAAATAAAAAATAAATCATTAAAAAATTAACATTAATTTTAAAATAATTTATTTTTTATCTTTTATAAAAGAAGCTATATATAGATGATGTCAGATATTCCGCGATTAATTAAACATTGTTTAAATCCTGAATGGGTTAAACTTCAATTTAAAAATGAAGATTGTGAATTATTAAATGAATATGAAAGCCAAAATAAGCTAATGAGGTATAAATATAATGATAAAGAATATTTAATTTCATGGAATCAATGGAGTCATAATCAAAGACCTCATAAACGAGAAGAAGAAATTAGAAATAATTATTTTCATGAATGAAAGATTCACTACCATAATGAAATAAAAATTTTTTTTAAAAATAAACTTTAAAAATTCATGTCTCAGAATCAACATTGAACTTTAAGAAACTAATGATTATTTGAATTTATGATATCAATTATTTGATTTATTCTTTCTTCAATCTCTTCTATTCTTTTTGTTAAATCATCAATTTTCATTAATGAGGTGATTCTTGATTGAGGAATAGATTTCAAACTAACCACCCCCTTTATTTTTGAAATTTTGAATCCATCAACTTTAAACATTTTATTCAATTTACACGTTGTCAATTCTTCAAATAATTTTTTATTATTAACATTGTAATAAACAGAAATTCATCAAAAGTGACAGCTCTCAATTTTTTGACATTTGTAAATTCTAAATTGAATGCGAAAAATGAAATAATACTAAGCATAATACAATATTCTAGATTTAATTATAATTAGGAAAAAGTTAGTTTTGAGAGTACTTTTCATAGGCATATAGAATGAAATCTTCTGAAAAATAATATCACATAAACTCATATTATTTTCTAATATCTAACTATTTTATATAAAAATCAAATTCAATGATCTTAAAAGCGAAGGATAAACCTCAAAATTTACGAATATAATGAGTGGGAATATAATGCTTATCTATCATAAAACCATATGAAATATCAATTTTTGCTTTACGCCTAATTTTTGACGACAATTAGCAAAAAATGTTAAATGTTAACACTCAGTCCATTTGAATATGAAAAATAAAATTGACTTTGATTAAATGTTTTTATTTATCATGCAATTCTTCTTGCGACCAAAGATTTGAATAAAAGTTCAAAAATAAGATAGCTTAAAAAATAATATACGGTAGTGTTTACTAATAGATGAATAGTATATAAATTCTATTAAAATGGATTTGATCCAAAAAAATATATAAAATTTGATCATAAATAAAATCGTTTTAAATTACTTCTTCATTTAAATTATAACAATTATTTTTGGTTTTATATTTTTTTGGATCAAATCCATTTTAATAGAATTTATATACTATTCATCTATTAGTAAACACTACCGTATATTATTTTTTAAGCTATCTTATTTTTTGAACTTTTATTCAAATCTTTGGTCGCAAGAAGAATTGCATGATAAATAAAAACATTTAATCAAAGTCAATTTTATTTTTCATATTCAAATGGACTGAGTGTTAACATTTAACATTTTTTGCTAATTGTCGTCAAAAATTAGGCGTAAAGCAAAAATTGATATTTCATATGGTTTTATGATAGATAAGCATTATATTCCCACTCATTATATTCGTAAATTTTGAGGTTTATCCTTCGCTTTTAAGATCATTGAATTTGATTTTTATATAAAATAGTTAGATATTAGAAAATAATATGAGTTTATGTGATATTATTTTTCAGAAGATTTTGTGTTCTTCTTCAAAATTTTATTTTTTTATTAAAAAGAATCTTTACAAAATATACATTTACTTTAATTAATATTTAAAAACGTGCTCTATCAAAAGTTCCAAAAATTCAATATTTTAGCTTTTCTGAGGTGTCACTTTTGATGAATTTCTGTTTACAACAACATAATAGTCATTAAATTCTTCAACAGATGAAAAAATTTTTATTTCAGTAATTGGTTTAACAACGTTTATTTTTTGTTGAACATTTTCACTTTCATTTATTTCTTCCTCCTCTGTTTCATTTATTTTTAAAATTGGTTTCATTTATCATTAAATAAAAATTAGAATATAAGTGATGAAATATATTTTTTAATTAATATTAAATCAGAAATGGCGGCAGGATTCTTTAAAAAATTATGGGATGGAATTAAGAAAGCTGCAGGTTGGGTTCATAAAAATATTATTAAACCCGTTGCAAACTTTTTGGCACCAGTAGCGAAAACGGCAGGAACTATCATAGGTGGAGTATTAGGTACTAAAGCAGGTAATCCGGCGATGGGAGCACAAGCAGGTAACGCAATTGGTGGAATTGCTGAAGGAATACTTAATAAAATAGGAGGTAGATAGTGGAAAAATAAATATTATTTTTATCTTAGTATCGGTTGTAGTC